CGCTGCGGTCGATACACCACCGACTGCTCCTTCGAGTTATCGGGTACAAGCGCATAAAAGTCACCTACCGGCAGCTCTCTTACGCCCAGACGCTGAAAACGGTCGGATGCCAGAGCGTTGAAGCCACCATCCGACAACGACGCCTACAGTTCGCGGGAGCATTGGCAATGCAGCCGGACGGGCGAGTCCCGAAACGACTGATGTTCGGCGAACTGGCAGGGGGGGAGAAGTGACGTCGGAGGGGACAGGAACAGAACTGGCCGAAGTGTGTGCTCGACGACCTAAAGGCATTCGGGGCCGACCACGGATCTACTCAAACCGATCCATGTTGTTTCGGAATCCCGGTACCGAAAGACACGGCACCGACGTCAAACTGGACGGAAGCCGCGAAGGTAGAGGGGGGAGTACCCTGGCATGCGGCGGTGCTGCAGGGAGCTGAGAGGTTCATGACCTCCTGGCACGAGAAGGAAGAAGAGGCCAGCCGACAATGGGCGCTCAAACGAAACCACAAGCCACCAACCAATGGGGGGGGGGCGGGCAGGAGACGGACGAGACGGCGAGGGAAAAAAGCAAACGAGAAGAGACGGACCGAGTGGCGCGATACGTGCCGGATTGAATTTCTATCAGCCAATTCCCCCCCCCCAACGCTGCACCATTGCACCAACCCCCCACTAGTGATGACGTACCATTACAATGTATCGCTGGTTGGTGGCCATGTTTGCGTGTTTGCTTGTCGTTAGTGGTCTCTCCACCGTGTGCCTTTTTCTGTCTCTTATTTCTTGTTATTTTCGGCCTGGTCCCTTTTTGTCCTCGCTCTTTTTATTTCATTTTCTCTTTCCTTAGTCTACTGTTTCCTTTTATTTTCTTCTCTTCTCTCTTTACATAGCAGTCCCTTCGTATGTCCGCAGTGATCTTTTTTTCTGAGCCAGATGGCCTTGTCTCTGCATGCGTTGTGAAGTACCAAGATTGAACCAAGGGGGTGTACCTCATTCTTTCCGGCCCGTGATGGTGACTCCTAGTCTCAGTTGTTACCTCGCATAGCCCGCAGAGGGAGTGGAGGACTCCAGAATATCTGTCATTGATTTCGATTGACTTGCG